CAAGATGATCTCAGAATCTTGACAGATATCGATAAATCTGCATAAGATCTTGAAAGAACTGAACAGAAACTTCCGAAATCTTTCAAGTTTTTATCAAGATCTGCAGTCAAGATTTTTTACTTGGGATATGGTCTTCAGCGGCGAGCTTGTATAAGTCATCCTCAAAATATGCGTCTTTCAGTTTTCGATGCCAAAGTTCTTCTGTCAAATATTCACAGTTCTTTTTCAATTTACACTTCAACTCTTCGATCAGCGAAGCAACTCTTTGACGAGTACTGGCTACTGCTGCTCACACTTGTACAAGTAACACGGAATATATGGATAGTTTCTAAGCTAATATTTATGAGAGATCTATGATAGAATCATGACGCTTCTCTTTTGTGAACTGGAATCATTTTTCAAATACTCCTTTTTACGTAAAGTAGGACGCTTCCATAGCATCTGTTGATGAAAATGGGAGCCACCTGAAAAAAGTGGGTGTGGGAGACAATGTTTGTTTTAGATGAGAAGTAAATAACAGAGATAATTCGTAGTTCGTGAAAGAATCGTTCAGTCAAGAAAAAAATATGCCTAAATTTTGGTTCGTATACTTTGACGTTCTGTTCAGTTAACCGTCCCCTGTTTTCGCTGGTTTTCAAAAAATTATTGCAATAAAGCTGCACACTAGTCTAAAATTGCAACTAGATAATTAAGTAGATTAAACATTTCTCTATAAAATGAAAAGTGTCTGGGCTCTGAACGTTGATTCATTGTGAAAATACAGCTCTTGTACAAACGGCTCCAAAGATCGATTTGGGGGCTATCTGAAAAACGTGTCCAAAAAAGAGTGAAAACGAACTGGAAAAATTGAACAAGTATACGAGTTTGTAGAAAACGCGGGACCGTTAGCTGGACAAGCCGTTGAGCTATAATTATTTTCAAAGAATTTAGATCTTCTGTTTTGTGTTTCTGATTGATTGTTGCTAAAATCAAAGTACGAGAATAGAGATAGTCTCCAAGCAAAAAAATTCTGTGAATTGGTATGTTCGCCATTAAAATGCACAACTCAGTTATATAAAATGATTTGAAATCAACTTTTGATCATACGAACGAGACATAAGTTTCGTCATCGTTGCACATTGTGAGGATCGAACATAGATTTTCAGTTTCATAAACTTCCACTGAAGTAGATGAGCTACTGCGGATGCCTCTAGCCGTTAATAAACAATCGATGTTTTGCTTGTAAGTTAAAAGCAACAATTTAATTCTGAACTTTTCGTTTCATCTGAACTATATTGACCTGGAAAAGATATAATAGAGACTGCCACACTCATTTGTGTAAACATTTGTTATATTAGTTTTTAAGATATTTATGAATCGATCGAAAAGTGTGTGCTTTAGCCATGTTTTTCACAAGTGTGGCAACTGCATTTGCCGGTTGTTTTATCAAGTACTGCCACTAGCTTTATGTTGCATCATGCAGCTAGCTTTACTAAAAAACTACTTTATGAACTCACTCTGACACTGCTTGTACAGTCAGCCCACTAACACATATATATATAGTTGTGTATCTGTGCGAACAAAATGCAAATACGAGTGAATCCACTTTACTAACATAAAAATAGCAAACATAGTTGCTACACTTGCGAAAAACATGACTAAATCTGCCATGGCAGCACACACTTTTTCGATCGATTAATAAATATCTACGTAGGTGAAGTTAGCAGCGGATTCGACTATTTTACGAAAACATTCACTCCGATAACTGTGCCAACTTCGAGCATTGCTGTGCCAGACTCAATTTAGAACTTTCCATCCGATGACCTGTTCAGCTTTCATGTGTATTATCCCAAAAAGTTTTAAACAACAAAGTACCAGTTTTTCCCACGGACAAAATACACGAAACTTCACATTTTAACAAAACATTCGCACTGACAACTGTGCCATCATAAATTTTATCTGTGCCCGGTAGAACTCGTGGAGCTCTATCCAATGGAGCTTTATCCAATCCTTGTATCGTACAAGGATACATCTCAATCTGAACCATATGAAATATTTCAAAAGCTCGTTTTTCGATGGTTTCTCACAGTATTTCTCGAAAATATTCACTCTCTAACCTGTGCCAAATGAAATCAACAGTTCATCAGGTTTGTTTATTGTGTAGATCTATTTCAGTCTTTTAATAACGAGGAAAGGAGAAAAGAAGAAAAATACCTATACATGATCATGTTCTACAAATTGTTCATATGTACGTGGATAGAAAAAGTTAGGAGTCAGTTGTAGTTCCACGGTCGAGTATTATCAACCATGTCTTTTATTTTATCTGCCTAATATGTTCATTGACTGGCGCTGGAATATAGACGGAACTGAAAATAAAACAGAAACTTAACAAATCTGATGAGAAAGTAGAAGAAAAAGCTGAGAAAATTCGTGGCAATGTCCGAAGATTACGTTGCAGTAAGATTGTTTTACTTACGTAATCAACTGACATTGTCTTTTTGTTTTTCTCTATCATTTGTTTGTAGAAATCATTTAGAAGTTCATCTGATGGTTGCTGAGGATTTTGTGGGAGGATGACTGTATTTCGACCTCCAGTATCACCTGGGCGTTTACAATTATGTTTGCGCATGCAATAGATAATGAAAATACAGATTAATACAATAACAAGGGATGCTGGCAGAACATACGAAAATGGTGATAAAAGACTTTGTCTTATGGTAGAAATATAAGGTGGCTGCATAGGTGGTAGTACACGATTAACAACATCCATAATATCATCCATGTTCGCATCAATGTAATTCAAACGTGGTACAGATGAATCATTGAGATGTTTTTCGATATCAAAAATATCAGCATCGATTGTTGATGACGTACCATTTTGTACAACAATTGAGTTATTAGCATTGATTAATGGTTTGCCTATTAACGTATGAGGTATATGACTGTTGCGAAGAGAAAATGTTACGAAAAATGTAAGATGTACCGGCCACAGTGTATTGGTTTGAAATATAAAGTCTATTATTTAATGCTTTTAGGGCACATCATTCCATAAAGCACAAGAAGGCAATGAAATCAATAGCTATCTATATATTCATAGTAAATAGCGGTATCTAAGATACTTTCATAGATCAGTATGACAAAGTCCCTTTGACCATGCATATTGAAAATCACATTATGATACGAGAACAGCTTAAAGACGAAAAACGGTAATGATAGCGAAAGACTGATCGCTCGCACTCGATAATTAAACTATAGGTGATTCCTTTTTGCTTACCCATAATATTGAAACCGTCACAACTGATCATTGTATTGTTGGGTACTTTTAGAAGTGACGCCGATGACAATACTATTCGTTCATTTTTCATAACAACATTTTTATATGCATTGTCCGATAGTATAACTGGAATTTTGAAACATTCAATAGACGTGTTTAATGAAACTACCCAATAAGAACCATGTAGTTGAAGGATAAAATGTGGCGCATCTGGTACATTTTAATACATACACGAAGACAATTTATTTTTCTTTAAAATTTGATCGAGACAAAAATATTTGATAAAGTCGAATGTATAGCGGGTACATCACGACATGATGTAACTGTGCCAAAATTTACAATCAGGTAAATTCGATTTATAACATTCTATAATTATTTCATCTGTTGGATTGTATCCGATATACGATGGCATATTAGTTAAACGGATTAGTAAAAGGTTTTTAGCCTCTTAAAAAATTTTCTGAACATTAATCAGAACTCTATATCTCACCTAACTGAATAAATTTTGAATGGTGTTTAAATGGAATTGATAATATTTCATAAACTGAAAATACATGATTAACTCTCGGTAAACCAAAAAAATTTGTTCCTACTAAACGTCCAATTTCATCTGGTGATGTTACTTGATACAGTGAAGATGGAATAAACACTAATTGTTGAAAACAGAGAAGTTGTGTAACAACTTCAATTAGAGGCATCGAAGCATAAATCGATATTTCAAAATCAAATTTAGCCAGATCAAAGACAGTTTTAATAATAGTTTTGACATCTAATGGATCAACATATAAAAGATTTAATCGGTTGTGATATATTATCAATAGACTGATATAAAGTCGAATAAGACTGACATTTTTCTAAATTATTTAAACGTATATCGAATAAACCTAAACTACTATTCATCGCACGAATACTTTGTCTCTCGACATTAACAACATCAATTACATCATTTAAACCTTTTGTTGTGGCTTCTAACTTTGTAACAGTTTTTATGACCCCTTCTTTAATTAAAGCAATTTTGGCCGTTTAGATAGAATGTTGTTTTTGTACTTCGGACACTGTTGTTAATAAATTTTGCATTTGGTTTTTAATATCATGTATCTGCTTGGTGTTAATACCGGCTACCGTAGCTACGCCAGCTGCAACGGTGAAACTAATAATATCCCATTGTCTTTTTTTTCCGACGATGATTGATTGATAATAAATGGTTACACTGTGGAATTTTTGGTAATTGATTGCCTGGTACGATAAAGCATGCACTACTTGAAAGTGGAATAATTATTGATATATTTATAATTCGATCAGCAGGCTGATATTAACCTATAGGCTGGAGAAATGCACCAGTACTTGGATGACTAATAATATGCAAGTCCGATGTGAGCAAAACGGCCAGAACATATTTCGGTAGTAAGATTGCTAATAAGTAATGCATAAATATTCTGACTATCAGTTAAACTGTCTTAATTTTCTGTGGGAACAGAATTTTATACAATATAAAATTTAGAAATAGAATGATATGTATTTATAGTGTTTCTTAGTGGTCATTAGAAAAAAAGATCATTATTGGACAGATTCATCCATCTGTCAAATGATATCTTTTCAGTGTAGCTGGACTACAGAACGTCGTATATTTCCAACAAGATTAATAATATATTAAACACATTTCTACTTGTTAAAGTTTTTAACACCTTATGTCCTTTATGAAATTGCTGTTTAATTTTAGCATTTGAAGTTTACAAATACTAATCAGATAATGAAATGACCCCTAGGAATACGATGCTTTTATGATGTGTCAAATTCATATAGATAAAAAGCTATCATATTATAATAAGATAAAGTGATTGAACATTACCTTTACAGCTGAAGGCATTGTAGATTGTTATGACAAGCGAAAGTAAACGTTCTCAAATATAGATACGACAATATGTTGATTTCTTTACGTGTATTTCAGATAAAAAAACTTTCCAAGATTAACATGCTTCAATATTATTCTGCATAACAACATGGTCCAGTGAGTACATCTCACACACTTACTAAACTTTTTTAATACTCTTTTTCGCATAGATTACAGATGGTGTACGTCGATTATTAGGTTCAAATCAACAAAATTATGATAAAAGCGTTTAAAAACAACATTGGGAAGGATTATCATAATAATAAGTGGGATGAAGTGGGTGGTTTAGATGGTTTCATTAATTCTGTTGAAAAGTTAGGTCCAGATTACCGTCATTTAGAAACTGAAGGTAGTTAAAAAATTATCAAATCAACCACCGCCCTATTTCTATTCCATGGTGTTCAAAGACGGAGAAGACCCATCGAATATCGTTCCATTAAGTGGTGCTGTATTATGTGACAATACGGTTACTGGGATCAGCTTTTATTTCTCCACGTTACGAAAATATATAATTTTGTTAAAGAAAAAGTATTATCGACCGTCCTTTTTTGTTATTGATTTTTCGGCCGCAATATTAAATTCTATATTAAACGTATTTAATTATGAAGATATTCATCATCATCTACGACGTTGCTTTAACATTATCCAACGAAAGTATACGGTCAAACAAATACAATCGAAGTCATTTGTAAGATTTTGTTGTGCCCATGTAATGCATGCGTTCGCACGTAGTTCAAAAACTGAAATTAAAAAAGAGCATCATCATGTAACTATCAAATTATTTGCTATTTTATTAAATTGTAATATAATTTTTGATGCATTGCGTTTATTTAAAACGATTTCATCAATATATGGTGGCCCTTCGCAAACGAACGTCGACAAAGCTATTGAGCTCTTAGTACCGGTAACGGATGTTCTTGATTTCGATTTGAAAGAATTTCTCAAAGACGATACGGATGATGATTTAGACGAGCTCTCTCCGGTGGATGATCTATTAGAATCGTCGGATCCAATAATTCATCAGTCACCGTTCAGCATAATTGCGAGAGAACAAATACCTTTCTTACAAAAAGCTCTTTCTGAACATAGCAAACTATTAATACTGCCAACAAATCCTTATTATTCAAAAAAAGTGATCGATTTGTTTTATAGATGGTGGGCGTATTTACGTATGTGAACGTGTATTCTTGTGGATTACAAGGAGCGGTAAGGTATAATTTCTTTTCTACTTCGATTAAAGCTTCAGCCCTGCTTTTATTTAGGTATGCGAGTGACAAACCGGTCTCAGTAGACACGTCTGTACTGGATCGTGGACGTTTATCAAATGCAATAGCCGAATCGTATTCTGAAATTATAAAAGAAGTAGTGTTGCAAAAGAAAACGCGACTCCGATCAGCTGATTTTTGTTACAAAGGTTTATCAAAGTACTGTAGCACGTTTCAAGGCTGGACAGTTCGGTGTAACACCATCAACTCAACCGCAAGAAAGCCTTTAGATGTACTTATACCCGAAACATGGAGAAAACGTGGTAGAAAAACGTAGGTGAAGTTAGCACCATATTCGAGTAAAACCTTCCCATATTCGTTTAGGAACATTTCCAAACTGTTCCAGCCCGGTTTCAAGTAGAACTCGACGAGCTCTATCGACTGGTATCCTTGGACTTGCTATAGTCCAAACCATATGGAAGATAAACCCAAAATGCCATTTTACACTATTTGAATGCTGCTACATGATTCGTCCAGAAACTTGTTCTAGAAGTTTGTATCAGTAGGATCATTCGTCCCGAAAGGAATTTGATTTTCCTGATAATAGCGGTGGATTTGGAGTACAATAAGATAGTACAGTTTTTTATTATTTTCCAAAAGTGATATATTATATGTTAAGATACATTTAATTACATCATGACACTAAACAAGTTTTCATATCTTTGATATACAAAAAAAGAACAATTAATTATTATTATAATACGTATATTGCTGTTTCGACATGAAAGGGTGAATGATTAACTTCTGTAACACCTTTAAGATCAATAAAATGAAATAGACGATTGAATGAATCGATAATAGTTGTAGTAAAGTGGTCGTTTTCGTGGTTAACTGTTGCTCGCAAGTCATATCTATATAAATAGAAGTTATGCATAATTTTTCGGGCTCATGTTAGTAAAATAAAAGTGCCTAGTGGCAACGCAATATGTAAACATTGCTCTAAATATGTTCAACGAAAGATGGTAATTATGATTAGTACCTGACTGAACCAATTGTGATCCTGCGTTGCACATCGTGGAAGTTCATACTGACCAAAACCGGTATCTTAGTCTTCAGATCATTGATAATGGGATGGGTAATGTCCACGAAAAGAAGTGGTGGATACCCATGGATACAATTTGAAGGCTCAGCAACCACTTGAGCATTACAGCGCCAACAGTCCCTAGAAAATACAATTGTAGTATTGTTGTAAGAAAGTACTGTTAAACTTACTCCTCTTCCATTTTTCTGGTATCAACGTTCATAATTTTTATTGTATCTTTTTTATATCCAAGTCGGGCTGCTTCTTTGTACGGTACTTCATTTAATAATTTGATCCAACCACAAGACGACGATGTTTCATGTGTAAATTTTGAAATAAAAGTTTCCCAACATCTAAATGCTAGAAAATATTTTATCATTTTATGTAACGACTTAATAACTTACCCAAGGGTTAGTTCAGTACTTCTAGCAGTACGTTCACGTTTTGGACAGTCTTGTCGAGTACATGTACTTCTGGTTTGATAAAGTTGAAGGGGATATTTGATAAAACGCAATAAATTTCCATCAACAGACCCATATATATTATGTTCATTTGACTGTTGATGGTTAAGAACGTTATGAGTCGTTAGCCAGTACAATCTGGCCTCGTCCCATCCGTCCGATTCGACTAAAGAGAACGTCTTGCGGAGCGAATAGAACGGTTCGTTCTCCGAATCTAATATGATATTATTTATCGTTGTTTCTGTGCAAAAAATTACATAAATAGCAAATATCTCGTCATGCTGTATGATCGTACCCTGTGGTGATAATCCTTTAAACGTAATATTTTCAGTGTAAAATCAATTTGACACATTCAATAATCTTAATTCGCATGTTTTTTCTCCTTTCAAGAATTGTATATAAACACTTCGATTTCATTTTATTCAATCATTCCATTCACTGGTATTCTTCTCTTTACATTGATTAGTCTTAGTATTTGACACACACAACTATCACACGTTTCTCTTCAAACTGGTAAGTAATATTTTTCGTTTTCTATAGTCAGAAGTTATTGCAATATATAGATATATAAATAGATAACACAAGCCTCATGTTTTCGATTGCTCGTCGTCAACCACTATTCCATCTCATCACCATACTGTTCAATTTATGGAGAGAGGAATAGTTTTTAGTCGAATCGGGTATTATTATGAAGTAGATGATATTCTCGGATTGACAGTGACTGTTCCAGTCACTCAATATCTATGCTCAATCTTACCTATGGAAGAAGTAGAAAAATTGAGTTTATGTGTAGATTATCAAGCGCAGCTTCGTGTACTCTTTGTACGTGTATTTATATATGTAGTTTTATTGGTTCTTCTTAATCGGCCACTCCTATCTCTCTCCCTAGCCTATAAATAGCCGTGTTTCTCTCACTAGGAGTGGTCTTTTGTATGAGAGTTAGCAACTCTGTATCAAATGGTATTGTCAAAATAAACATATTATTTAAAAGCATATTGCTGTGCACATACAAGACTACAAGATAGTTTAATATCACCCAGCTACCTAACACTTGGTATCATCTTCGAGAGTGAAATGTAATGAAGTACATAGCAAGTTTCTTCTTTAGGTTAGTCATACTGAGCTACGCATTAGGAGTTACGGGAGAAGGGAATTCGCCAGAGAGGATCTGCGTGAGAACCGAGAAACACAAAACGAAGTATTAGCTCCGCTGATATAAAATGGAAATTTTCAATTATTTGCCCCTAGCACTAGTGCTGACAGACCGGCGTATTTTTGCTGTGCTTCCTATTTCCATATACTGTTTAAAAGAAAGAAAAGAGTCTCGGTTGCGTATTTCTTTACTTATTTTGAAATGAAGGTGTACAAAGTGTGGCTGTTCTGCTGTTTCGATTTTAGAAAGGTAACCGTCGTCACGACAGAAGAAAAAAGAAATTTTTTGTTATACCTTAGATAGATTACAAACGCAAGCTTAGGCTTTTGTATTGTTACCTCTCATTTACCTCTCTTTCTTGTTACCATTGACACGAGACTGAAACAGAGTGGGTTTTTTAATAGAAGAACAACTACTTTATTGCAGTTTTAAATGGCAAATGCATCAAATGTTCAATGTACAAAATGTACAAAAAATGCTGGTATAACTACATGCGATGGCTGTTTAGCAAAATTGTGCAGACGGTGTTTCAATGATCATCGTCAAGATTTGTCAAAAGAATTCGACAATGTTGTCTACGAACACGATATGCTCAAACAGGAGCTCGAAACGCCAAATAAAAATTACTCTCATCATTTGTTAAAACAGATTGATGATTGGAAGAAAGACTCTATCGATAAAATTAATCAGCTTGCTGATCTATGTCGGACTGACGTTGTCAAACTGCTGGATAAAAACAAGAACCAGCTTACTGACAGATTTCGCAAAATATCGAATAAACTTCGTAAAGGTAGGGACGATGAAGATTATGTTGAACGAGATCTCAACAAATGGATGACTGACTTGAAAGACCTAAAAGATGAACTTATCAAACCATCGAACTTTCGTGTCGAAGAGGATAACCAACGATCTCCTTGGATTCAAAAGATCAGAGTGCATGAAGATTTCTACGACCCAGCAAAAGTGGAAGATGGTAAGTCATGATTATGTCCCGTTCTGCTTTGTCAACAGACAATTTAATAGAGTCTTACCGATTTTTCCACATATAAATGTCGGAAATATTTTGACGAAGATTATTTTTTCTGAAAAGAAGACATATTAACCTTAGAGCTTTTTGTAAATCACACAATAAAGATATTTCTTCCAACAGGTTCATTTCTGTATAGGTGCCACCGCTTTGGGCTTCGACATAATATTTCACCAGAAAGTTCATAAGTTCGGTAGCAACAAAAGTATACACTAATAGGTAGAAAATAAGAGCACGCATACGATCTAGACGATTTTAAAGCTATCGAAAATATTATTTTCAAACAAAAATTGTTTGTTAACCAATTTTATCGTGCTTCTGTATAATGTTAGTAATCATTATTATTATTTAAACTAACTTATCTGAAAAATCCATCAAAAGGGACCCTATGAGCGGCTTCCCAGGCGCGACTCTCACATAGGGTCACATTAATGGTAAAATCAACTTAATCTCGTATTACTGTTGAATTCGTTGTATAAACTTGCATATCGAACTATTTTTATGATTTTTAATATACTATGGCAGAAATCCACTGATTGAGATAAGCCTCTAGAACTTGATCATCCCAACCAAGCCCCCAAAATGGTCCGTTACATGGAAATATTACAACTTTTAAATCGTCTATGTTACGCATCTGAGACCGTCGAACTTTTACCAAATAAGCTTTGACATATAATCTATTGGAAAAATGATTGAGAGTCTGACGGTCAACATCGAACTGGAAAAGCTAAGTCAAGTAGAAGTTTCTAATATCATTCCAGAATGGTTTCAATCTTATTTATTAAATAGAGAGCAAATGGTAGTCATTAACAGTAAAAATTCCAAAGCGGCTAATGTTACTTCCGATGTGTATAAGGGCAATATTCTTGGGCCGCTCCTACTTTTCAGAGTTATGAATGAATTGAGTGAGAACTTTTATTCTACAGTGATAGCATCACTTTCTGCTGACGATGTTTTCGGATTAATTCCGCTTCAAAATTTTAACGGCTTTACAGAAGTTCAAAAATTCTTAGATATCATGACAAATTGATGCGTCAAATATGAGGTTGACTTAAATATAGACAAATGCTTTTACATGCCATTTGTTAATTCTAAACTCCCTGATTCATACCCTCCACTTATTCTACCGGGAAAACAAATTTTATTAGATAAAACTATTAAATTATTAGGTGTGTATCTATCACCTGATTTAACCTGGAAGTTTCAAATGGAAAAGTAGCTAAAAGATGCAGACAAATGTTACGAGCCTTAAATAAAACTTTTAAATACGCGCCACAATTTATTCGGCTTTGCATCTATAAAACGTGCATATTGTCTGTTTTTGATTATTGCAGCGCAGTTTTTGATAACGACGTCAAAACACACCTGGAGTTACTAATATCTGTTCATAAACGTGCTGCACATTTATGTTTACGAACCTTCAGACGTGCATTTCGTAAATATCTTTTTCATAAGATGTAGATATTGGTTAATTGTTGATTTTTTCTTGAAAAAACTCCATTGATCAAAGCCAATTTCTCTTCTTCTTACTAATTTATGGCTTTCTAAAATGTGCAAATGAATCGCAGCTTTTTGACTGACCTTCTAATACGGGTGGCCTTCAAAGTAGCGCTCTCCTCTAGTGTTATCCTTTCAGAGCTTATCGTAAGCTTTACTGTGAGTCTCCTTTTCATATTCTGGAAAATCAAGCTTGATTTTCTGTAAAAGAGTTCTTCTGGAAGATCAGTTTCGATTGCCCAGGTAGAGAAAAATCAGTTTTAGAGAAAATTGAATCAAGCATATTCTTATTTTGAAACAGTACTACTTTCAGAGAATTATTTTAAGCTGCAGGTGAAGTCTCATCCACTAATGGCCTTCGTATCATCCAGTTAAAGGAATAACAGTTATCTTCCCTTCTCCTAGAACCACCATTCGGCGGAGCTGGTATTGAAGAACAAAACCCTACTAGCACTACATTGGCAAGATCACAAAGTTTCTTTCCAGTACAACAGAAAACAACAATAAAAAATCAAAAGGAAAAAGGTAAGAAAAAATTTCTTTCTATCAAATCTGCTATTTCGCTTGGCAGCAGTGTCTGGAAAAAATCACTGCAGCAATGACATGACGATTTATTCTTTTCAGGAACTGAGAAATGAAAGATAATCGATAAAACTGAGTTTCAGATCCGCTTGACAGGCTGATCCAAAAATAAGTACAGGTTAACTATAAACGGGCGTTCTTGTCCTTTTGCACGTCTATTGATAAGAGTTCGGTATAGTTTGGGTACGAGAAGAGCCGACATGCGCTAATCTAATTACAGCAACTGCTTGCTAACTCCTTCAGAACTCATATGATCATGTATTTACCATGATTCATAAAATGTCCTTAGACAACAACAACAAGTCTGATACATTTTGAACAAGTTGATACGTGAACTGAATTATTATATTATGATATATCATCCCTTATATGATCATTATGAATTTTCACATGTTGTGTTTTGTCCCATTTTTGAAAGTGACTTTTCCCCTTCATAGTAAAAAGAACGAAGAATTGAAAGAAAAAAACAATGGAAGTAACAAATGGTTTGGTACCTCAAAAAACCTATTAGCATAACTAAAGCATTAGCGAAGTGATGCCTACCGTTGCATCAATCGATTTGTTGCAACTAACTAGCAAATATGATATCAAACAAATTCTATGAAATGTTTCTTTTGATAACCAAAAGTTAGCAAACAAAATAAATTCATTATCAGAACCGCAATTACATGCTCCTCTTCAAGAAGCTGATGCTACTACTTGCATACTTGCATAAATGCAATAATTCAACAATGACGCACCTGGAGTAATAACTCAATGAAATAACTGCACTTTATCAAAAACATATGTCAATAATCACACACAACAACAATCACTTCTGGATCAATCGTCAATAAATGAACGTGTACAAAACAAATACGAAAGTTGACATCGGTCAACTGGTTCCAATTATGGCTTTATATAGTGATCTTAAGAATCCTTACCTAATTAGATAGTGAACTGAACATATTAAAGTGCCTTTAGTTAACAACAAAGCATCAGGCTATCACCTTCAAAAGTTTCACTAAGTTCAAACCCACTCACCTTCATTCAACTATTGTCCTTTGCTTTAGCTAAATGTCATTCTTGTGATACGATTCATTCACTAGCTTTGCGATTCAACCACTTCTTCATAATGACATTATCATTTACAACCGACTTCAACTTTCAATACAGGCACCTAAACGCTTCGACATATTGGCATAACATCATCATACTGCGGACCAAACACTTCCTACGCGATCAGTCATAGTTTCCGTTACAACATTATAATATACCTAAAACATCACGGTATCAATATGCGCCCCGAAATTCCGAAATATTTGGATAAAGCAATTATTGTAACAAAACTTCCCTAGCTACGACGTCAATAATCTAAAACAGAATCATTCCTCCAACTATACGTGAACTCGCACTTCCACCTTCAAACTCAGAATACACGCGATACATGGACAGCATCATCATCGTGGTACTGGTTTTGATCATTCCTCAACCATGTTATCAATGGCATTGCTCACGATCATTTCTATATGTATGTGTGAACTCATGTTGGATCTTTGAACTTCAACGATACCAGGTATATGAATATAGTGATAGTCATGCGGATCATTCCTCAAGTATGTGATCAATGGCTGTGGTATCATCTCTGTATGCATGGGTGAACTGATGTTTCAGTTTTGAACTTGAATGATACGAGATACATGATTATAATAATTATCATGTGGATCATTCCTGAACCATGTGATGAATGACTTTGCTCGTGATCATCTCTCTATATATGTGTGAACTCAGGTTTCATGTTTGAATTGCAACGATACGAGGTACACGGGGAGAATCATCGTTATGCGGGTGATTCTTTTGCGATGTGAGTAGTGACGGGATGTATTGTGGTGCATTCGGTTGGGTTGAGGCTCATGTTTGTTTTCCCGCATTAACAGTTGAGAGGTAATAGAATAGAATCATTGTTGTAAGTGTGGGCATTGAATGAATTCGTTTGTTGGCGACTAGTGTTTCAGTAGTGGCATGCGAAAGAACAAAGGCTGTGCTTCCACGGTTTCTGCCAGATTGATTTAGTTTTTCGTTTTATGGTCACAAACTGGTTAGAAAATGTAGTTCTGTTGAACAGCTAACTTATCCTTTGAAGAACTTATCTTAATACTTTTTATTAAAGTAAATAAAGTTTAGACTGGTTAACTGTGGTAAACGTCTAATGTTCGCCGCACTTGATAAAGGGGTACGACAGTAGAAAAGGAAGATCATTGGTTTGATTTCTTTTAGCTGAATAGATTCGCCCATACCTGAATTTTATGGTGTAGTGTGACAGTTGTTTTGCTTTCGTTGTTCATGTAAATTGGTACTTCTTTCCGATGTCTCATTACCTAGAGCGAAAAAAGAGGGGCTTTCTTTGAGCATTAGTTCAAGTTATAATCCAAATTTCACCACTTTGTCATCATCGTTACATATTCCACTGTCTTTTATGGGGATAAACGTTCAACGTAGCAACCATGTTTTGAAAAATAAGACTTTGAAATAGAAGTATGTAATTAGATCAATCCATACCTTGTTCGGAATAAACTCTCATGAAATCTAGATAATA